GGTCAATTTGACTCCTAGACCGGGAGCCTCCGCGGCGTTTACCGGTCGCCTTACCTTTTTGTGCTACGGCAGCGACCACTCCACCCTCTGAAGCGGCTATGCTGCCTGCCTCTGAACCTACTCCCTCCTGGAATTTGCCACCCAATTCGATGGTAGAACCATCGTTGTCGACAAACATCAAGCGACCTTTCGCTTTCCAGTTAGGAGGCAGTGTCTTCTTCCACCCATCCGTAGTGGGTGCCTGTCCATGCCCTATCTTAGCTTCAAGGTCTAGGGCCACCTTGCTAAACGAAGGGAAGTTGTGCATATTGATGTTGGCCTCTTTTGCCAACTGGTTCCTAAGAGGCTGAGAAAAGCATCTCAGGTACGAAGTCAACAGGACCTGGGGGTCATAGCGCACCCCAAGGACACGGCCTCACTAACTAAAGTTCCGCTGGCGTCGGCTGCTCTAGCCCTCCTCTGTTGCTGCTGCCTCTCCCTAAGCCGGCGGAACAGAAACCTATCACCCTCCGGTCCTAGGGACACGTGAGCTCTCGGGCCTCTCTAGCTGATCGCAAGATCCTAAGGTCGTCCTCTCCGGTATCCTCCTCGTCGCTCATAGGCTACAGCACTGTGCACTGTCTACACTAGATCATTCAAGATGCCTACCACAACATAGTGCACAGATCAACTAATTAATTGGTGGCTATTTCGGAACAGATATCATTTGAGGTCAACAGGTAAGTCAGATTCCTACAACAGAAACTATTTTTAGTATGACGAGTCCGCAAACAGAAGCACCAGGAACAATCAACAGCTCTAACTAATGCTGTCTGTCAGATGTTAATGGCAGTTCATCTAACTAATCAAAACATAAAAACAGAATCATGTGTGTATAGGACAACATGGAATTTTCTCTCTTGTCACTTGGAATCAACCCCTCCCTTAGTTCCCCTGAGTATCTCTTGACGTCAGCGGCCCTGAGCAATCTGGAGGCGTAGCGTGTCTAAAGGTGTGTGCCCGGCCCACCCCTGTGCCCCGAGTATTTACTGAACCGGCCAGCCTTGCACGTATATTTATCCTCGGCGTGCCGCGAGCCTTCCAACCGGACTGATCCAGGGGCAATTTAACGTCCGCCCCCAAGTGACTCCAGGAATTATTTTACGTCGCAGCCGGACGACGATCACAGTCAATGGTTCCCCTTCCCGAGTTTATTTATAGACGCCGGGTGCTCGTCTTTCCTGTAGGGCTGGCCTGCCCAGTGGTACCCATCTAACACCGCAGCAAGCCGAACAAAGGACCAGCAGCAAGGCATGCGTGCTCTACTCCCTGTGGGTTGGCATGGTGACCGTGACCCAGGTCTTCGTCCAGGGCCCTTCAGAGAGCTCCGCCCATCTCCACCCAGATGCTCCACGTGAACATTGCCGACTCTCAAGGTTGAGCGCACTCGACACCTCACAATGAGAGGACTCTCAAGAAGGAACACACAACCTCACGGTAAGAAGTGTCGGAGAGGGAAGATAAGGTTAATTGCAACGTACCTCATTTAGCTGCCCCCAACCACAGAGATAATCTCACCAGATGACCGAATGGCGATTGCAATGACCAGTCACTGCATCGGCACAACCAGCATTATCCACCGTTCCACCTCAGCATCAATCGCACATTAGATAGTTCTCATCACACTGTCCAGACCACATACACCTCACGTAGCCTTCCTGGCGATTCCCCTCACCTCCTGGGTCGCCTTACACTTGTTTCCACCCTCCTCACTACATACCACTTACGGCCAAACTCGCCCAGCAGACCGCATGTATGTACCGCGTAAGGCAGAAGACAAGCGCCAGATGAGTGCAATCGTACCACAGCTCCGATACCAAATTGCAAGGAAGATGAGCAATAGCGAACTTCAGCAATCAAACAGCACCATACATATGAGTCCAGATAGTCTTGACCTCAAACCAACAGCAGCATTGCATCACGAGAATCACCAAATAAGAACACACCAAGAGTTCATAATTGACAATGCTGAAATAGTCCCATCATCATCAACGAAGAACCAGAGTTGATATCCTATCTGGCGCT